TTATGGAGGACAAGTCCAATGGTTTCTTAGCGGCAGAATATGTAGAATACCGAGGAGAAATAAAGTTCGGCCACCACAGAGTTAAGGAACAGTGTGAGACGTCTCTTTTCACCCAGCCCCAGTGGCCTAATGGATAAGGCACTGGCCTCCTAAGCCAGGGATTGTGGGTTCGAGTCCCATCTGGGGTGAAAAGCTTTTTTCTTTTTCCTGTCTAAAGTAAACCATATCTCCATCTCTAGGTGGTGTCTAAATTCCATTACTGGCTACAGATTTAAACCGCACAGCATGGTCCTCTTTGTTGGTCTCCAGTTTTCTCAACAGATAAAAGGTAAACCAACAAGGGACTGTGGATCTGTGTAAACAGTTCCTGGCAGACTGATTACCCTTTTCCAGCACAACATAGTATGATGCCAATCACTGTGTCTATGAATTACAAACACTCATGCACATTGTGTAGAGAGTTGTCACTTTGGATGGGCTATTACCAGCAGGAGAGTGAGTTTGTGTGTGGGGGGGTGGAGGGTGAGAAAACCTGGATTTGTGCTGGAAATGGCCCAACTTGATGATCACTTTAGATAAGCTATTACCAGCAGGACAGTGGGGTGGGAGGAGGTATTGTTTCATATTCTCTGTGTATATATAAAGTCTGCTGCAGTTTCCACGGTATGCATCCGATGAAGTGAGCTGTAGCTCACGAAAGCTCATGCTCAAATAAATTGGTTAGTCTCTAAGGTGCCACAAGTACTCCTTTTCTTTTTGCAAATACAGACTAACACGGCTGTTACTCTGAAACACATCATTCAAGCCCACTAGGTTTTTTGGGGTTTTTTTTATGCTAATCCCCTCTGGTGTGAATTTTTGCTCTTGCTAGGAAAATAGCTCTATTTAGCAGCCACCTTCCATCTTAAAATCCTTTTCATGCAGGTGAGCTTTGCTTTAACCTCAGCTCTCATTTTTGTTGCCCCCCCCCCATTTTAATGAGCATTAAATAAGTTTTCGGTCTTCTTCCGTCTCCCTTCTCTGCAGTGGAGGTGAAAGAGGCAACCAGATCCTCCCTTCACTGAGGGGTGAGGGAAGATGCGTGGCGTGGGGTGGCACAGGACCTGGCTATGCCTTGAAGGTGTTCAGGGATTTGGGTGTCCTAGACAGGAGCCTGCGCGCTGTTGAGGTCTCACGGGGACCATGGTTGCTACAGGAAAGCCTGCGAGTTGCACGGCAAGGGGGAACCGTCTCTCTGGGAGGCCCCAGCTGCCTTCCCTGCATGATCCTGCTGTCTCCAGATTGTGCGGCTTCCATCCATTACATCCCTGACGCTTGGGCACTAGGCACAGAAGGACAAAGGACCCTGAGCCCTCGGGACAGCAATCGCTTCAAAGGGACTAGAAGCAGGGATGCCTTTTTGAAGGGGATGGGCCAACTGCCTCTGGAGAATAGCAGTTTGGGCCTGGCTAGTGGACCATGGTAGTCTCAGTGCTATTCCACCAACGCCCCTCGCTGCGCCATTCTAGTAGAGCAGCTTCCTATTTCACTGGTCCTACCCCTTCACTCGGGGCAAAACATGCTTTTAAAGCAGTGGTTCTCAAACTTTTATACTGGCAACCCCTTTCACACAGCAAGCCTCTGAATGCGCCCCTCATAAATTAAAAACACTTTTTAATATATTTAACACCATTACAAATGCTGGAGGCAAAGCGGGGTTTGGGGTGGAGGTTGACAGCTTGCAACCCCTATGTAATAACCTCGCCACCCCCTGAGGGGGTCATGACCCCCAGTTTGAGAACCCCTGGGCTAAAGCTATAGCAGAGAGAGACCAGTTCCTAGCAACAGGTTTCAGAGTAGCAGCCATATTAGTCTGTATCCGCAAAAAGAAAAGGAGGACTTGTGGCACCTTAGAGACGAACAAATTTATTTGAGCATAAGCTTTCGTGAGCTACAGCTCACTTCATTCTTTCCTTTTTTGCAGTTCCTAGCGCTAGCTCCTTGCCATTTCTGAGCTCAGGGCGCCATCGTGTGGCTTCTTGATTCACTCAAGGAGTTTTGTGAAAACTTTATTCTCTCCTATTGATTTTTTCCTTTTCTGTTTTACATGGACGGGTTCACTGGCTGCTATTCAAATGTGTCCTGTTTTCCATTAACCATAAAAGCAGCAGCCAAGGCATGCCTCTAACAGAGCTCGGGACATAGCCTTTATACCCACAAGGCACTTTAATGGCAACCAAATCAATCGAGTGCGGACATCCTTTACAGCTGAAACTGCCTTTGCTGCTTTTTTTTATTCATTATTTAGACTCTGATAGCACCCACAATATGCTAGGGGTTTCTACAGCCCTAAGCAAATGTAGCTCCCTTGCTCTGAAGTGTTTGTACCCTCACAATTACGGTACTGACAACCACAAATTGTACAAAAAATCATGAGTTTGGCTTTAAAGCAATGTCCTTAAGAAAGCCCCATGGGGTGCCTCTTCTTTGGTTTCTGGGCTCTGAGCCTTTCGTTGACCCTTGCTTCACCTTCTCCAGCTTCTTCCCCCCCACCAGTCATGAGGGCTATACATTTTTTTTCTATTTAACAAAAGCTGAAATTCTGATGTAATCACTAGTTTGCAGGAGATGGGATTGTAAAACACCAAATGTTACTAGACTTGTGATAAAATCACAAGAGCTGGCACCAGTTACACCAGTGTATGTAACTTTATTATAGGTCATTTTTCATGCAAGGATGACAAATACGCCCATTATGCTCTTCTAACCCCCAGATACCCACTGTCAGCTGGTAATTATGTTTGCCTTTCTTGAGTGAGGAAAACTTAAGTTACACTTCTTTGCTTGAAAAGTTCGTCGAAGTATCAGTGAGAGAAATGTGGCTTTATGTTAACGGAGTGAGCTGTATAATAGCTCCTCTGACTTCACGTCACAGAAGTGAGGGTTCAAGTTCTTGATGTACTGCAGCAGTCTGGTAAAATGTTAAACCTTTTACTATACCAAACTCACCCTATATGTAAGGAAATATGAAGATGATGCCAGCAAACCTCCTAGGGACTTCAGTGCTGCCCTAGTATTAAAATAAACTGATTTGAAAAGAAGGGAAATAAGATGCAATTAAATCATTCACGTCCTGGTTTTACCCAGGTATAGCATTCATGTATGTGCATACATTTGGCTGGAGTAACTTTGAGAAATGGAAAAGCTGTGCTGTGAGAAAACAAATTAGTCTGTAGGGAACATACTCTCTCCTAAAATCACTTGAACTATAGCAACCCCACAATCCCTGGTTTAGGAGGCCGTTAGGCCACTGTGGGCACATACAAGTGCTTATCTTCAGTTTCCCTTAGCAGAGTTTGCCACCAAAAGCTATGGAAAAAAAGAGCCAGTCAATAATTCATTTACAGACACAATTCCCATAGAAGTGCATTAGAAGAGCGTAAGACTGGGCTCAGCATCTTCTCATTAACCATCCTCTGCATGGATGGTGCATGAACTGCTTTCTCGGGGAGGCTAGCCCCCAGCCCGCCCCCTTCTGCTCAAGACCCTGCCCCTTCCACCCCCTGGCTAGAGGCCAGAGCACTGCCCCCAGCCCTGGAGTGCCAGGAGGGAGCTAGTGGAGTGGAGCCCTGGAGTGCACAGCGGTCTGAGCCAGGGCCACACCACAGGAAGGCTGGAGCCATGTTGAGCGGGAAGCAGGAGGGAGGAGCTGGGGGTGGCGCATGGCAGGGCCACGCCTGGCTGTTCAGGGATGCACAGCCTCCCCCAGCCTATGCTACCCACTGCCCATGATCCCAAAGAATGACCCCAACAGACAGACTCTGTGGAAGATAGTATTTTAGACACATTCATTTGCAGATTTTTTAAAAAAATCCCACCTAAAGCATAGCACCTAATAACTCCAGTCCAAGGTCAGGGCCCCCCATTGCTAGATACTGCACAAAGTAGTAGCAAAAGACAGTCCCTGTCTCTGACATCTCTTAAGCAATCATCCTTCTGATGGAATGCTTACCAGGACAATTTCATAACTTATTTTAAAAAGTGCACAATTGTTAATTAACACTTAGGATCAGCAGACTGATAGAATGAGTGAGCTGCTTAAAAAGTAAGTATGAACCAGAATCTGTTCTATCCAAATATGAACTAGATGATTGTACTTTACATTGGTAGATTAAAAACATAAGAACATAAGAATGGCCATACTGAGTCAGACCAAAGGTCCGTTTAGCCTAGTATCCTGTCTTCCGACAGCAGCCAATGCCAGGTGCTCCAGAGGCAATGAACAGAACAGGTAATCATCAAGTGATCCATCCCCTGTTGCCCATTCCCAGCTTCTGCCAAATAGAGGCTAGGACACCATCTCTGCCTATCCTAGCTAATAGCTATTGATGGACCTATCCTCCAAAAAAGAACTAGATAAATTCATGAACCCTGCTATAGTCTTGGCCTTCACAGCATCCTCTGGCAAGGAGTTCCACAGGCTGACTGTGTGTTGTGTGAAGAAATACTTCCTTTTGTTTGTTTTAAACCTGCTGCTATTAATTTCATTTGGTGACCCACTAGGTATGTGTTATGAGAAATCTAACAAAACCTAACTCATGTATATTCTGTTTAACTAAAGTTTAAATAACGGGATGTAAGGCAAAAAGAATCTCACCTTCACCTGACCGTGACACTTCACCAGAAGAGTTTCTGCTTGTAGCAGAGAAAGACCAGTAACAGCAGCCGAAGCTTGCTAAAGTATCTTGGCAATTACTAATACACTTTTTTTGTTTAAATCTCTGGGTGTGCAACTTTTCTGCTTAAAGGCTAACTTACTTGCTTCCACAGAAGCAGGGATCGCTCTCACACATGAATACAAAAGGGTCTACAGTTGGGGCAGGAGGAATTAAAAAAAAATTACGGCAGAAGAAAGCCTAAGCATTTGGCTTTCTTTTAAAGCATGGACAATTTCTCTGAGACATTAATATTCTACTGCAAATATTGTTAGTGAAAACCCACTTTACTAAATACAAGAAAGCTCATGTTAAATTACATTTTATTTTTACATGTTTTAAGCAAAGACTTTTTTAAAGACCGTTTATAATTTGTGTATCCTCTTCAGTTTCCAGGCCAATGTGTTTAAAAATACAACATCCAGGGAATTTTGTTGTTGTCTTCAATCAAAGTCTACCCTCCTGCTTTGTTTTATAGTCGAATGAATTTTTTTCTGTCGCAGTCGTTCACGATTCATTTTTTGCACCCTAAAAACAGAGAAAAGGTGCTTTAAACAGCCTACCCCTAGAAACATTTAAAAACAACTATTATTCCACACTTGTCTTATGATAACACACACCACATGTTCCTAGGTGCTGTACATGCATGCAGGGAGACAATCCCTGCCGTTTGGATATTGTAATCTAAGTAAATTGCTGAACTATAATGAATTATTCATGCTAGGATAGGAGTGGAAAAATTTCATGTCTCAGGGTGTAAATTGATTATCACAGAGGCCAGGAAGGAATTCCAGCCCTTCTCACCCCAAAACAACATTACACACTTGGCCATAGGGATCTTTCATCTTCCTTTAGAGCAGTAGTTCTGAACCTGTGGGCTGCTTGTGGCCCAATCGGCATACAGCTGCTGCCCATTGACATCCTCAGTGCTATACAGATAGTCTATATACTGTGTGGATGTGGCCCATATAGCAAATAGAAAGCTGCATATGTGGCCCGCCGTAACAGTAAATAGGTTGAGAACTGCTGCTCTAGAGCATCAGGTATTGGTCACTTGTAGAATGTGGATACCAGATTTGATGGACCAGTGGTCTGAGCAGGTATGAAAAAAGTTAGTGGCTAGCACAGTATAAAGTTACATTAAAACACTCCAGGTCCAGAAGTGATAGAACAGTGCTAGTTACATAGAATGATCTAGCTAGAGCAGCCCTTCCTGATCCATTGCCACCCTGCTGTAGCTTTGCTACAGTCCCTCCTAGCATCACGATAGCCCTGCCGAGGGAAGCCTATCTTTAAACCACCTGCAAATTCCAATTGGATTGTATCTGGATTTTGTCAGGATAATCCAAATCTAGTTGAAGTGGAGCCCCATTTTTGTTTTATACCTGGCTATAAGGAGCTGGGAATTCTCCTTGGATACCACACTGGATTTCTGAGTAGCCTCCTTAATCATGTTTCTGATTTTTTGCAAGCAATCTGCCAGATTCTTCATTTGGTAGCGACTCACTTCAGAGTTTATGATCAGCTCGCCAGATTTATTTATTTTATTCTTGTGCTGGGGAGAAAAAGAGAGAAAATACTTGACCATGAACACTGTTACAAATGTATCATTTACTGGCACAGAAGCTGTGATAGATATGGCAATGTTCTACAAAATCTTGGGGAAATCTATTGAATTAAGTTTAAATAGCTTTGAAATCCATTGTATTATAAATACAAAATGTATGTATTATTGTGGGACTGTATGTGACTTCTTTAGGGGACACATGTGGCCAGCATCCGCCCCGGGGAAGTGTTATGAGCTTCAAAGGACTACTTTAAACAATGTGCCAGACAAGAAGGAACTTTTGGGACAAACATGGTTAAGTGGGTTTCCTAGGAAATAATGGTGTAGAAAAGAATGCAAATTCCAACCTCTGGACCCAATTTTTTGAAGCTGAGCCCTGAAGAAAGAACCATAATCTGATGCATTACCTATGCACGGTCTCTGAGGATCAAAGACACAACCTGCATAAAGGAAAGGCTAACCTATGCATGTGTGTGCTAGGTTTAAGCTGTTATGAACTTGTAACCACAGAAAACCCCCTCGTGGGGTCTGAAGGTCTGATCACCTGCCAGAGCCCTTGATGAAGTTGGGAGTGATCTCTAGTAAGCTTAGAAGCATGTGTGTAGGTTTTTAATGTCTTCTTTGCAATGCTTTCACTTTAAGAATAAATGTGCTGGCTTGGAAAGGACTGTTTGGTAATTTATAACTGTGAACAATGATGCTGTTTATAGCCTCTGAGGAGAAAGCAAAGCAAGCCTGCTTAGGCAGTCTGACTTGCTGGGGAAATCACAATGTAGGTAGGGAACTGTGCAGCCTGAAAAAACTGAAGTCCGGAGAGAGAAAGATGCGGGTCTCCACCCAAAGGAGGTGATGGCTGAGGAGCTGCAAGCCTAGACTGGGTGCCCTAGCCCATGAGCGGAAAATACAAGTGCAGTTGCCCTCAACTGTGACAGAAGGTTGTAAAGTTAAACAAAGTGGTTGGAATGGGAAGGAAAAGGTTGACAGTTACCATCACTGCTATTTTCTGCCTCACATCTTCTGCAATCCAATCTGCTGATGCCAAATGGAATCTAACTTCTGCCTTACTATTCACTGTGATTGGAAGACAGAGAAGGGAATGTTTAATTCATCTCATGCAATCCACATTAAACGCAGCTGGTGATTAGATTGCCATGACGATTCTCATTTGAGTGCGCAGCAGGATCACAGCAGTTTCTTCTTTTTACACCCTTTTCCTGCTCTTCTCGATGCCACAGTTAAAGAAAAACTCTACCTAGGTGTCTCTCTGGACCTCACCCCACTATCTGATCACCAGGGCGTTATCAAATAGCATCTAACTGCTACTTCCAATTACAAAGACTAAATCGCTTAATACTTAATTAAAAAAAATTATCCTGATATTTGCATTTATAAAAAAAGTTTTCCTCCATATGTTATTAGTAATTCCTTAGTTAACTGGAAGTTGGTGTATTTTTTTTTTAATCTGGTTTTAAAAACTCTGATTACTTTTTGCATGTTTTCTCAGCTTGTATCACGAAAACAGACTAGTTAGTTTCACTTTCAGGTTCTCGTGCATTGCAGAGCTGCACAGTTCAAGTTGCAAACACTGTAGAGACCTGTTTTGTTTAAACAAAATTGTTTCTATTGGAATAAAAATAAATTATTAAACATTTCTACTGGTCTTAAGTTTTGCAATGACTTCTTTTTACAACACTTAAATTTTGGGTTAAGCTTGGCAGGTCTTAATGTCCCTTTAAATGTCTTAACTATAATGAAAAATGAATAACAAGCAGAAAGCCATTCTCAAATTTGATTAGGATTTTTAAAAAGCATTGGAAATCCAAGTTTTCAGGTTGTTGTACAGTCTATATATTTTTAAATCCATAGAATATTTTTTGTACCTTTATTAACATTCTGGCCTCCGGGTCCACTGCTCCGGCAATAGGATATGGACAGACAGTCTAGAAGACAAGAACACAGGAGTACTTAACCCCACAGCCAGATCTACAACTAATCACACAGTAAGAAACTATCTAAATCAGTGTCTCTCAACCTTTCCAGACTACTGTACCCCTTACAAGAGTCTGATATGTCTTGCGTCTAGTTTCACCCCACTTAAACTACTTGCTTAGAAAATCAGACATAAAAAGATAAGTGTCACAGCACACTATTACTAAAAATTGCTTACTTTCTCATTTTTACTATATAATTATAAAATCAATTGGAACATAAATATTGTACTTACATTTCAGTGTATCGTATAGAGCAGTATAAACAAATCGTTGTCTGTATGAAATTTTAGTTTGTACTGACCTTTTTATCTAGCCTGTTGTAAAACTAGGCAAATACTGATGTACTCCTGGTTGAGACCCACTTAAGTGATGTGGGGATGGGGGAGAGAATGCAAGTTGAAAGTTGAGATGGCCAACTCACAATCCATATTGACTAGTTCTGGTAGAGTTAACAGACAGCTCCTCAAGTGGAAAGGTAGCTGCAATAAATACGATCCTCTGAGGTATTTGATATTTCTATGTGTAAACCCACTGTTTTTTTGCAAGGAAGCATGCTTACAGATTAGATAATCCGTTAGGGCATGATCCAAACCCTACTGAAGTCAGTGGAGTGGGTTTTGGACCACTACTTTATTGCTGTTAATCCCCAAAATGAAAGTTAAAGAATTCCATCTTATCCCGCCCCACCAAAATACTTTTCTTGCTCAGGTTCAGAAAGGCTTTAACCATTATAGGCAAGATTTTCAGTCTCATTGCTTTATATTAAAATACTTATCTGCCATATGCAAGTCATTCTAAATTTTAATTGTCCTTCTGCATTACATTTCCTCCACCTATCCCATTTTCTATCAATCATCATATAGCCTCTCTTCCAGCTCTTATAGTGTACAAAATAAACTCAGGATTAATGCAGTTTGTCAGGTTCCTCCCCTCTCTTCTTTCAGTCATCAACACACCTTGTGCACAAAACTTATTCTATGATTAATTCCTTATGTTTATGGGGAACCTTTCAATGCTAATGGAAGCTGTAGAAATTAATACTTTGCTAATGACTTACTACTTTGCTTTTTGTTGCTTTTTGTTGTTTCTGCGCAGGTAACTGAAATCTTTTAGATTTTAATTGATTTACTGGCAATAAAACCCCACTGAAAGCAACCTGGACAAAGAAAAGGCATTTCTCTTATATGCTAGACTTACCCATAGGAATATCAGGAGAAGTTTGTTTTGTCCCATCCTATAAAATACACACACACAATGAAACAACTGCTGTTTGATGCTCCAGAAAGCATTTTTGCAATAAAGTCAGTCTCCAGAGCACAGTTTAGAAGAAAATATAATTACAGAAGCTATTGCTACATAACTACTCTATCTTTCAGAAAACGACATGTTCGAAATTGCTTTGTGAAAACATCCCTGTAATCTGTTGTATATCCTAGACCTAGAACTATTCTTTTATCTAGTGTATGCATCTGAGAGTGGGTTGCTGCAGAGGCCTGGTTTATAATTCTCATTTTTGCACCTTTCACCTGTGGTATCCATGCTGGATATTTTCCTCTTTCCCTTGTGAACAGATTAGCTCATGTTGTCTCACACAATCCTGCTCTATAGGCTCTTTCCACACTAGCTGTTTTTATGGTCTATTTTAGTCATTTGTAATATGCCATCCAGACATTCCATACATCTTGTACTAGTACAGCCTCACCTTATCCCTCTCCACTGCTCTCCCTTTTTCCATAATGAAGCTACATGTCACTTGATGTTTTTTCAGCTTCCCACTGGAGAGTGACATCTTTGCCAAGACAGACACCACAACCAAACTATCATCACCAAGGATGCTGTTACTCTCTTTTTATCTTCGGCCTGGTCTACACTGCCACTTTACAGTGCTGCAACTTTCTCGCGCAGGAGTGTGAAAAAACACCCCCCTGAGGGCAGCAAGTTTCAGTGCTGTACAGTGGCAGTGTAGACAGTTCTCCCAGCGCTGGGAGCTACTCCCCTCATGGAGATGGGTTTTTTTACAGCGCTGGGAGAGCTCTCTCCCAGCGCTGATGCTGCGACTACACCCCTGGTGCCGGCAGCGCTTTAACGTTGCTAGTGAAGACAAACCCCTTAGAGTCTTCTGTTTTTTGTTGTTGAGGTTCTGCTCCCTGTAAATCCCAGCACAGAAACAGGTCCTCAAAGTAACTTCTACAGCCAGGAGACATCATATGAAGCTGTGCGGCAAGGCTGTTTCTCTAGCACAGGATAATGTCATGGGGCAATGGCCCAGAGGGACCATTCTGAAACTACCCCACAGGCACCACGTAGCTGCTAAAGGGTGATTTGCTTTGAATAAAACAAGGGCCAACAACAGTTGCATATAATTTGACATCGCCTATTATTTGCTGCCCCTACGACCCCACATTGCACTCAAGCCACGCCCATCATCTTCTATTACTATCAGGCCCCACCCACGGCAGTCTGACCACGCCTCTGTCCCCTCCCACTTCTATCAGGCCCCACCCATTGCACTCAAGCCCCACCCAATTCAATTAGATTCCACCCGTTGCAATCAAGCCACGCCCCTCAACCGCTGGCCGCGCCCCTGCCCTGACGTTCCGCCTCCTCCCCGCCCTACGCACTTGGGTGCCCTCCGCGGGGTCGCTTCTGGCCTGCTCCAGATAGAGCCTGTCCAGGGCGTATTCGCTTCGGAACTCGGAGCTGGGGGCGGCGGCGGCGGCGGCGGCGGCTCGGTGTACGATTCCGGGCGGGGTCCGGGCGGGAAGCAGCGCCGGCCTCGCTCGGCAAAGGCCCCGCAGCACGCGCGCCGCCATCTTGGGCCCTTTGCGTGCACTCCCCTTAGGTGTCCGCCGTCTGGCCGGGAAACAGCAACTGCGCTGTGGGGGTTCCGGGGCGAGTTCCCCCCGGCCCGTGCTGCTGTGAGTGCAGGGCTGCGGTTTGCAGGGTGGGAGCCGCTGCGGACGCTAGGGGCGCCCACGACGCGTGGCGCCTGCAGGATGGCGTGGCGTGGGCCCAGCGCTCAACAGGCCTGGTTGCGTGGGGCTGTCCCGCTGACCCCCAATAGCCAAGCCCCTGCCCTATGCCTCCACACCTGCCCCTACACAGGGGGCTGCATCGTCACTCGCTCAAATTTGGCCCAGCTGTGTCCTGCCCACCCCCCGTCGGGGAGGCTGGGCCAAACCTGAGCAACACCCTGACCCCAGGGCCAGCTTGCAATGCGTGCATGTCTAGCCAGGCCCATGGGGCAGGAGCCACCACAGAGGGGTGAGTGCAGGCAGCCTTGCTCTGCAACCACCCTTCCCCCTCTCCCCCCCGTTCCCCCACCCTTTGGGGGGTCAGGACCCAACCTTGCAGCCTCCCTCTCCCCAGGGGCAGACAGGGTTTCCCACCCTCCTGGGGACAGGCGCCATCTGGCTTTAACCACTGGAACTGTTGGATATGGAAGGGTGGTGGGGTTGTGTGGCCAAGCAGAGGTGTGTCATAGATTCTAAGGCCAGAAGGGATCCTTGTGATGATCTAGGTCAGGGGTCATCAAACTGGGGTTGTGACCCTTCAGGGGGTCACAGGTTATTACATGGGGGGTCATGAGCTGCTAGCCTCCATCCCAAACTGTTTCACCTCCAGCATTTATGATCGTGTTAAATATAAAAAAAGTGTTTTTAATTGATAAGGAGGGGTTGCAGTCAGAGGCTTGCTGTGTAAATGGGGGTCACCAGTACAAAAGTTTGAGAGCCACTGATCGAGGGTGACTGTTTAACACAGGCCAGAGAATGTTCCCTAATTTCCTTTGGACAGTGCAGTGACACTTGGTGGTGGTGGTGTGGCTCTGTGATAATGTTGCGTATTGCAGGGTGTACAAATGTCTCGATTTTGTGTGCAGATGTTACTTAGCCCTGTATTGTGCAATGAGCAATCTGTCTGTTTTGGCAATCCCAAATGTTCAGAAATCATGAATACCCTTCTCCCCTCTCAAATCATAGGATTGATTTAAAAATAATGAGATTGAAGGAAAAAAAATGATTTGGAATTCTTTATTTGCATTCTGGCTTTTGCATGTGAGGTGGTGGAGTCTCCTTCCTTAGATGTTTTTAAGGTCAGGCTTGACAAAACCTTGGCTGGGATGATTTAGTTGGGGATTGGTCCTGCTTTGAGCAGGGGGTTGGACTGGATGACCTCTTGAGGTCCCGTCCAACCCTGATATTCTATGATTCTATGGTTAGTGGTCTTGTCTTCAAGCTTATCTTTGCAATCATGATGGCTAGAAACTTTTTTAAATATGAAAGCTGAGTTTCTGGTGTATTTCCATGACTCCAGGCTCTAGGGCCTTAACAAAAACATAAAGTATATTAAATCTTGCATAAAACTGTGAGAGTTGGTAACATTGGTATTTTACAGTAAAAGCCCTAGTCCCAACATCATATGCTAATGTTATTACAGTATCTTGGGCCAATCGCTATAAAATCCCAGAGTATTTTCTTTTTGTAAAAATGAGAAGGTGCATATCACAAGTAGTTATATGTCCTTACACCCTCTTTAATGATTACATATAGTAATAATGAAGTGTTTTCTGGACACATGGACTTCTTCTCCAGTAGAACAGAGATAAGGCCTAATCCTGTGAGATTCTAAGAGCCTCATGCAACGTGCTGAGCACCCTCCATTTCCTTTGAAATAGGAACTTTACTACTTGACAGAGATGGTCAGGAGTCACTGCTTCTGGCAGTAGGGTAATGGGCAAAGTGGGCACAGTACTGCCAGAGCCCCTTACGTTTTGGCAGGAGTAGAAATGGTATCAGAGACCTTAGTTTAAACTGCAGAACGAAGTCAACACGGTTGAAAAGTTGGTGTGGAGGGAGTCTACTCTGCATGCGTAGGGGCTGTGTAATAGGGATCTGAGCTTGGGTCTCTGGTAATTGCTGCTGAGGCAGCATGCTCAGCTCCTTCGGAAAGGAGTTAAATGTTTTATGTCCTGCTACAGCTGATGCTAAGCAGTGCTGATGGGCCATGGAGGACACTGCTTTAATCTGATCTGTGTACCATGGTAACACAGGTTGTTTGGGAATGGAGACCCTGGGGACTTCTGCTCTGATAACTGAATGCTTTTAAAGAAAAAAAGTCAGAGTCATCAGAGCCAAGTCATGCCATCTGGTGACCTTAATTTCAAGCAACAAGCAGGTAAATGTTTATGATTTGTAGCCGAAGGGATGGAGAAGAAATAGCTGTAGCAGGATGATTCACTTTCCCAACTGTTGTTAAACCTGTCAGCATTATTGTCTCACTGGCTGTGCATGCCAAGAGGACATCAGAACGAAGGTGACTGAAGTGACCCAACTGAACCCAAACTTTGAATGAAGAGACCTTTCCTCTTTTTCCATCTTGTGTCAGTTGAGAGCCCTGCCACAAGAACCCTGTGTGAAGCAGAGAGGATATTGGGTTACAACCAGCACCCTTTCACCTTTCTCTTGTTTAGGGGCAGGGTGTGCATGTAGAGAGGGTTTGGATAAGACTCGACTTTGTTGTAACTCAAACAGAACCAGGCTTTTAAGGCTTAACGAAGCATGGAGAATTAAACCACCAATGTTGGGGCTTGTTTTTAAAGCAGGTTCATTACATCTGGTGACATATGTTATTGGGGAGCAGGGGCTGTACAAAACCATCCCATTATTTGTGATGGTGGGCTGATGTGCCTAAAGATGTATTCACACTTTGCACTGTGATCCTAGCAGATTTCACAAGCCAGTTGGGCTGGGCCAGGTCCATACTTGGATGGGAAACTTCCATAGAAACCATAGGTGCTACAGGAAGCGATGCAGTTGACGCCGTAGATGGCATTTTTCTCTCTGAGGTCTCAGTTCTGGAAGCATTAAGCTTGTGCTTAAGGAAATCCATCTATTCCTGATTACGGAGGCTTTTCTGATTCGGGACTTGATTTGGAGCCAACTCATTGTCCCAGAGTGGTGCCGATGGAGCTGGGCTGGGTGTAAGTGCTGTCTTTCAAATGCAAAGTAAAACTGAGTTCTAGACCACTTGTGGTCATTAAAAATTCTAATACCCCTATTCTGCTGAACCTAGGTTTTCTGGCCAAATTCTGATCCCGCTGCTCTAAATTTCCCCTGCAATTGCAACTGGGTACAGTCTGTTCTTCACTTCCTGTCCTAAACTGTTTAAGGGTGTTTCTGTGTGGTGTTACACAGATGCCACTTTCCATTAGACAGCTGGCTACGTTTCAATGGTGGGTAAAACGATTGTTATATCTTCTTGACCTATCTCTTAATAGTGTTGGGGCGCTTAATTAATATTTGTAAAGCACTTCGAGATCCTTAAATATAAGATTCTGTCCAAGTGCAAAGGATGCTTATTTTGTCCTTTTCGTAGGGATGCAGTTCACTGGAACCCTCATTTAAAACGAACAATTCCCTCCCCCAACTGACTGTGAATCACAATATTTTTGGATACAGAAAGGATGCTCTCAGCGCTTTGCTGTACAAGCAGCTGATATACTGCAGCTGTTCCTTTGTTTAGACAAGTGTTAATATCTTGTCACTTGCATGAATCATTTTTCTGGATCCTGTTTTTAAATAAATAAAAAAATAAATCAGCATTTGTGTTGGGTATTCAGAATTTTGCAAGTTAACGGACTGTTGAGAATTGATAAGGCGGTGCATTTTCATGATTTGGCTGGTGATAATTACCCAGATACATGAAATGTAGGTTATATAAATAACCATAGCTGTATATTCACACTGCTGCATTCCCTCCACCTTCTCCCAAAGAGCCTAAAGCATTTTCTTGCCCTACATCATGCCAGAAGTTCAAAGAAACAACACTACCTGATATTCTTGGAATCAAAAACAGCCACAAAGGAAGTTTCAGCTTTCAGAATACTGGGGTTTCTTTTTATTTAGGAAGAGAATAAAGCATTTTTAAATATATTTATCTGATGTACACTTAAACTGAGATGCTGGTTCATACTTTACAGTGTTTGAAACCGAAAGTGATAGTGATCCCCTTCACATTGATGCAACAAACAGATGACTTTAGAACAGACATAGGTTCAAAAGTCCCCTAGTATAAAGATTTAAGTAAAGGAACATTAATAATCAACACACCAAGTATCATGACAGTGGTAACAAAGAGCATGGTGAATTCTCTGAGAAAATCTACTTGACACTTACTTTTTTTTAGACAACTGCTTTCCATTATAAATAAGGCATGAAGGTTCTCCATACTGTTACCAGACTGATAGCCACAATCATGTGTATAGCTCCTAATACTTCTGAGTTTGGGGCCACTGGCCATCTGAAAATGTCAAGGGTGCAAGAGAGAAGCTTTTGGCATTGGGTAGGTTGGGAGAAGGTATTTGCAGAACTGGGCCCCTCTGGCCGGCCAATCTAAGAGGCAGCAGTGGTGATGGTTTGGGGGTCGCACCTTTGCAAACTGCCATGATGGCAGCCTTTTGAAAAGAAAGGACAAAGAAAGATCGATTCTGCAAAGTGCTGAGCACCCTCAATCCTCACTAATTTCAGTGGGAGCAGAGGGCAGTTGGCTTCTCATGGGGTCAGGTCCTGAATTTGGAAAATAAGACGGGGAGTGAGAGGGGAGAAAATGAGATAAATTATGCTAAAAAAATAACCAAAAGCCAGATTCTGATCTCATTTTTACCAGTGTAACTCCAGAAAAACAGACTTTGGGATTTAAGCTGATGTAAATTAAATCAGAGTCCAGCCCAAAGTTTCTTTAAGTGCATGTTGAATACTGTTCAGTAATTTATAACTTCAGTAACTTATACCAACTGTCAGCATCCTCCCATGCAGCTGAGCGCTCTGGGTGTGTATCTGAAGCTCTAA